ATGGAGACAAAAGACGTAGTGGAATTGTGAAATAATGTGAAGGATTACATTAGTATGTGGTCTTTACTGTTTCTTAGAAATGAGATAGAATGTATTAAATCTAAATTAATGAAAGAAAACTTATTTGGGAATTTATCTTTTCCAGTATAAAATGTGAATTATGACTTTGGAAAACTTACTTTCCAGACAAGGTCATATCCCAGCAGAGTAATTAACAAGCTTTTTAGGCCTTAGGCCTTTTAATGACAATATATGTATTCTACTTTGTACTGTGGGTTACAAGTCTTCTGTTAGAAGCTTATAACTTTTTTTCAGTCAGAGAAGGTTACAAAGTCCGGTCTGATGTGAACATCACCCTGGAGTTCCGTACGACCGCAGCGCATGGCGTTCTCCTCGGGGTCAGCAGTGCTAAGGTTGATGCCATTGGACTGGAGATTGTAAATGGCAAGGTAGGCTGCCCTGTGCTGGCCCTGTGCCCTCACTTCACAAAGCTTGCTTAAAAATGGGAGGGTAGAACAGTTGGGTAGCACTAAATCGACAGCAGTGACATGTGATGAAAGCAAAATGTCGAGACGAAATCCCCACAGAACTAGTATGGGATAGACTTTCAGTCTCAAGGTTTCTCGTCATCAGCATATGATAAAATGTGAGATTAGCAGAAGTCACTGGAACTTTTTGCCTCTTTAATTAGTGTAATATATGTTAGTCTGTAGCCACTGTGACCTCCTGGGCTACATACCTTGTATGTTTGCCCAAATACATACCTTTCCTGTAGCTTAATACTTTTTCTACCATAGAGCTACACTTGTCCTTGATAAACATATTATAACATGTACAAAGCACACTGTTCTGTAATCTCCATTGTTCATGAGCAATTAACTCACTCTACTTCTAGTGGCCATTATGGTCCATAAACGTTTTAACAATCAATACCTAGTTCTCCACTTATCTACTGCATAAAAAATGTATACTTGATTGCTCTTAAGTATTTCCTTTTCTCAGAATAGCTCATTTTTTATTCAAAACTTCCTAGCTAGATGTAGTATTAAATATCACTGTTTCTGTGGGACATACTTTCTCAATTAATATTTACGTATTCATCCTCACCACAGAGTTGAGGAAATGTGTACTGCTTTGAAAAATAAACACATGAAATAAATCAATACATGTATTGGCAACGACATGTGCTTTCAGTTCGTTCTCCTTCTCTTCAGTTAAATACAGTGGATCTTCTTTTAGATCTGAAGTCTCAACTTCTGTGAGAAGATTACTCGATTTTTATTTGTAAGAAACATTGGAGTCCCAAGTGAAGTATACCAACCTAACCCAACAGGCCATTGCATCAATAGATCTAAGCCTTTTAGATTTTAAAGATACTTCAATAAGGAAACACTCTATCCATCAAAGTAAACACTAGCTTTGCATAATTACCAAGCATTTATTAAAACTGAAATTTCTGCACCAGTGTGATTGTGTGCTTTTATCTAGGCAAATTAGTTCATGTATTTTTACTTTATATCTTTATTGGCATCTGGCTGTTTATACAGGTTTTATTCCATGTCAACAATGGAGCTGGCAGAATAACAACTACATATGAACCAAGAGGCACAAATAGTTTGTGTGATGGAAAATGGCACAAGCTTCAAGCAAACAAAAGCAAACATCGCATTTCACTGATAATTGATGGGAATTTGGTTCAAACTGATAATCCCTACACCCAGTCAACCTCTGCAGATACGAACAATCCCATTTATGTTGGAGGCTATCCTGGTAGGTACAATAATATTTCTCTTCCCTTCTCTCCCTCTCTGAATGACTCTCAACACAATGTGTGCTCTCTCTCTGATTCACGAAGTTCATGATTGGGTTATAAATCATAGTTACCATTTTCCACATTGTTGCTGAGATCACAGCCTATTAATATTTGTGTATACTATCTTTGTGGAGGACTGCATTTAGCTGTTGAGTGTGTTGGCAAGATCAACTGAACTCGTGTCACTTTCCTACACAAACCTGGTCCTTAATTTCTGAGAAGGATTTCCTCCATGTGGTTCGTCTTTCACAGTCTCTCTCAGGTTTCAAAACACCACTGCCTGTGTAAGTTTAGGTGTGATTATCTTGCACACAAATTCATATCAAGGCTTTCTTTCACATTCATCTAAGCAAGGTTTCTGTAGTGCTCTTTTCTACTTTATTTTTGCAAATGTTTTGTGTTGGGGGCTGTGCAGGCAGAAGTCAAGCTGCTGCAGATGAACATATATTTCCCTTGTTCTGTGTGTATTCCCTTCTGAAGTAACTGTCTGCCAATCATTCTGCGATGGTAATATAAAGAGATAGTAACACAAAAAATGTGTAATCAAATTACTTTTCAATTAGATTGTGCAACTCATCAGTTGATAATTTGAGCCAAGACAATGTATTCATTAAGAAGATTGATTTTCTAACATTATGAGTTTGGCCTTTTTTCGGGCATACTTTTTAATGAACACATCAGTACCGAGAATAAGTAGGCTTTGTATGGTTTTGAATGTCTTATGTTTTTAAAGCTAGCCTAAAATGCCTGTGTACATTTGACTCTGAAGCAGCTGTTACAGTTCGCCAGTTCAGATCTTTAGGTTTGTATGAAAACAGAGTGATGAGGTCTGAAGGGCAAACTCAGCTTTTAAATATTTGGAAAGCTTTAGGGATAATAGCTTGAAATGTTACAGAGCCTTCTGTAGGACAAGGTTTTGGTGCTTTTTGAAAAATGAATTAATGCTAATTGACCAGATCTTGATTAATATTTGGTCTTCCTCAAATTGTTTTGTTTTGTTTTTTAAATAGGGCAATGTGATACTAACTGTTCCGTCAGAGCTCATTAGGGCACATAGAGAAGAGAGAAATTCTTCAGTTTAGTTGAGTGCAGAATTGGCATGATTTTTTTCACAGGTTGTATGTAAAAAAGAGTTGGACTCTCTACCAACCTCATATTTTGGTTTGCCAGTGCAGGCCATGACTGTGTACAGCTCAGCTGTTGCTTCAGATTCTGCCACTTTCAATTTTAACATGGCAGACACCTATGTAGAGTGGTTTTCTCCTCTCTTATCTCCCATTGTCCTCTGGGACACATTATTTGTGCAAACTCTGCACAAGTTAACCCAGTGCATGGCTTACTCTTGAAGGCAGCATTGACTGTCCATGGTGGCATGACCCAGATCACCCAATCCAAACATGAATGGAACTCGGTGCTCCTCAGGTGTTGGTTCCATCTCTTGTTTGGGAGAAAGAGGAAGCAATTGAATAATAACCTGGATCATTGTATTGGTTCAATTCACTGGAAATAGATTCTATATATTACACATTTTTTTTTTTTTTTCAGCTGATGTGAAGCAAAACTGTCTCACAAGCAAGACCTCATTCCGTGGCTGCTTGAGGAACCTCGTTTTGACCAAGGGCCAACAGGCAGAATTGTTTGACTTCAGCCGAGCTTTTGACCTGCGTGGAGTCTTTCCTCATTCCTGCCCTGGGGCTGAGCACTGAACTGCAGCAAAGCCTGTCTGGACTGAGGGAGGTTCTTTTCGTTGATCTGTTATTTTTCATTCTCATTTCATAATGAAAAGAAGAATTGGTGAGAACCTGCATCTCTTTCATTTTCTGGTTGTTTCCCAACTCAGGTCATTTATTTTTTTTTTTAGTCCGAAGCTCTATGTCTGCATTTAAACAACAAGGTTTTAAACAACAGATACCTCTACTACAATGTTAATGGCATTAATTGGATATTTTTCTTTTGGGAATTTTTATTAATCAGTGTTTACAGTATGTTTTCGTTTGATTACTTCACAGTATTTCATTTTATTGTGTGTTGGTCATTTTATAAAAAGGTAATAATTTTGGACCACATAATAAAGCTACAATAAACTGTGCATTATTTCCTGTAGTTCTGTTCTCCATACCTTTCAGTTAGAAGAAGAACAGCCAGATGGCTAAGTGAAAAGTACAAATGGATAAAGTCCAGCAGAGGGAGCAGGAGACTAAAGGCATAATTTTGAAGGTCTCAGATTCAGAGTCTAATGAATAGAATGTTCTTATTTATGTCCTTTATGTGGTAGCTCCAATCCCTTTTCCTTCTGCCTTTAATATCCAATGCTTCTGACCCCCGTTAGTAGCCACATTGTCTCAGAGGATGATGTCCCTGTTTATGCTTTCATGTAATCAGCTGCAGGACAAGCAGCAACTCCACAGCACAGAGACATGTATGAAATGGTTTGTTGGTGAAGAAAAGATTTGGGTCTGGCTTGGGAACAACTGTCTATTTTGGCAACGAGAACTAATGCATCTTTCTTGTGAAAACGGTATTTCTTACAGGACACAGGGAAGCAGCTTTGGTGCCCTGTGGTTCCTAATTCACAGGCCAGTCAGCAGCTCTGCCTTTACCTTTTCCTGCTGCACCTGCCTCTCTCTCCAAACTGAGGCTTCCAGTAGTTGCACTTCAGCCAGGATTGGAGGACAAACGCTTGATCTCACTCAAGTAAGGACATCTATTCATCAACTGGTCAGATCATGAAGCAGTGACAAACGTCTCGTACTTGAAGACACATCTATACTAAACATGGTTCTTTACAAGTCACATCCATCTCCTTTTCCCTCTTTGAACCATACAGTTTTGATTGGCTTTTATTATAGATTTTTACAATTCGTTCTAAAGTCAGTTTTGCTCTATGTGTTTCATACTAGTTTAAAAAATACTGGCTCAGATGAATCCCCAAAGCAGTTTGTCATTGATTCCAATGAGGCAGGATTCCAAGCAGTGTCATTTTGTACCTCGCATCGAGGTAGTCCAAGAGAAGAACTCCTGGACCAAAGAACTGCCCCACTAGAGCAGGGCTGGCACAATGTGGTCCTTTGTGTAGCTGTTCAGATGCTGTAACAGCAGAATTGCTTTTAAGACAGATTCACCACTGCTTTTTGCAGTTTCTGTCACCTGCTTTTATCCGAAAACCACGTGTTTATATTTGAAGAGCTTTCTTTGTTGGTATTGTTTTTATTTTTGACATAGATACAATACAATGGTCACATTCTGCTGTACAAATACACTTAACGTGTGGGCTTACTTCAACAAAACACATAACATAATGAGGATTGTAAGAGAAACGTACGTACAAACATTTTGCTTTGATTAGTGGCATTGTATTATTTTCCAGAGAAGACACACATTCATGGAAAGCCATTGAAAAGTAAAAACACGGTATTTTTGTATTAGTTATCTATTAACCCCAAGATCTGGTCTCATAAGGTTCACATTACAAGCAGTAATTGAGGCAACACGGTTTGGATAAAACTGCATGCATATCCTGAAGTATGCCTTTTAATTTTTAAATTTTTTTTTGTAATTTCCAAATTAAAGGAGAAATATTTTATCAATGCAAAAGACTAGTAGAGAGGTGAAATTAATAATAGAAACTTTTGGAGTATTAACCCTCTAAGCCAAAATATTTTTCCTGGAAAATGCAGAGTGAGGTAGTTAATTTTATACATAGACACTGACACATTTGCACACACGCACACATTCTAATGGCGTTAGCTGCATAAACAGGTTAGAGCATTCCAGTCTGTTTCCAATACCTACTTCTTGCAACACTTTCTCTCTCTATGTGTTGATATGCAAAATGCTGTCTTTGTAGAACCATGGAGTACATAAATGCTTGAGGCATCTTTGGAGTTTGCTGAATAAGTTTTCCTACTTGCTACCACTTTTTTTTATGTGTAGCTTTCCGCATGTGTTCCTTTTTGTCAGGTGACAAACCTACCATAACTTGGTTTTGACTTCAGCTGCTGCTAGAAGGAGCAAAATTCCAGGTTATCTCCACCAGCAGTTTGAAATATAAGGCCTGAAGTTGAAACTTCATATTCAAAAATATCGCAGAGATTTTTCAGTTTGTCTGCTGCATATTAAATCAAGTTAGTGTACCACAACAACACAAAACAACTTAATGTGTAACAGTATTAACCACAGTACACATGGGTCATTAGGTCCATTTGTATCAAAAAAGAATTTTGCCATTCTGTTGCAGAGACAGCAGGTATTTGGCCATGCTGTAGCAGTCTGGGCACTGGGCGTAGAATCTAGTTCATCTGCTAATATGCATGTCTTGTAAAGTTATAGGCGATTTTTAGTATAAAACAGGTGTGCACAGGATGGGTTTCATTACATCGGATTTGGCTTTCCTAAGTTGCAAAGTGGTAAAAGGTGAAAGTCTTTCAAAAACACCCTTCTATCCTGAGCAGAATACAGTGAGATCCATTTCAGAAAAAAATTTGATGAAGTCCTTCCTTCAGGGTCCAGAACGTGCTGAGCAAGGTACCGTGTGAGCCCAGGGGTGCTCTGTCCTTTCCCTCGCACGGCCACTGAGAACACAGCTTGAAGTGAGTGGGCAAGATGGAGGAAGTCAATGTATTTGTCTGAAAGTACGGTAGAAAGTTATCTCATTTGCTACAACATTCCAAATTCTTTAGTTAATGTTCAGGCTTTCTGTATAGTCATCAAAGCTCTTTCGTTGGCTATAAATACAATGATGCTTAGCATTTATATGATGCTCTTCACGTTCAAAGCACTTTCTACATTAAATCCCTTTGCTGAGTTTGTCCTTCTAGATGGATGTTTATAACTCCTGTTCTGCCCAGGGGATGGTTTGGCTGCAGCTGAGAGCAGAATTTAACTCAACTAATTCCTGTGTCACGTTTATAAGGAAAATACTAGTTCTCTTTTACAGCTAAGAAAGAAGGGCAGCATCGTAGAAAGAGTGGTCCATTCCCACAGAGGGAACTAAAGGGAACTGGGAACAAAGCACCTGACAAAACGTTTATGCTTAGTTCTATGAACAAACCACAGATTTACTCTCGCTCACATACTTAAAATAAATAGTTGTCAAAATAAGCAGCGTATTTTATAATACAACTGTCCTGGTCTTTTCCTGGCTGCAACTATGCATCCGTTAGTGTTAAGGGGAGATTTAAAAAAAAAAAAAGGAAAGTAAAAAATTCCATTATTTTAAAAAAAAAGACAATGTTGCTAAATTTTATCATTTTTATCAGAAGATAAGGAAGAAAGACGGTGTCTGCCCTCTGTAGACGTTATTGTTGCTGGTAAAATTACTGATTCAATGTTGCTATCTTTCACTGAACACTAACAGTGAAAGTAACTACTGGAGAACACCATTCACTTTGGCCCAGAAGCAGGGTTCCTAGAATGTGAAAATCTCCACCGCACGACTTCAGCAGAGCATCACCAGTTACCAGCATTCCCTGCAGGACAGCGTATGAATGTTCCCCTGGAGGACTTGGTTCAGAAGGCTTCTACATTGCTGCCTGGTAAACAGAGCACCAGCTTCTACCTCCTCTGTGCATCCAGATCGGGAGCAAACCCCACTGCTCAGGTGAATTCCTTGTGCAATGTCATCCTCCCGTAGCGGAGACACTGCAGTGCAGTTGAAGGCTTTGGTTCCCATTTTTTGCATAAGACAAAGATGAAAAAAATATTTGCTGTTTTTTAGGGACTTGTCATTTCCCTATTCAACAAACGGGCTCTAGTTCTATCAAGAATAGCCCAAACTGAGGGGATTAGGTGAAGAATGGTGCTCACCCTTGTGACTGGTTACTAATGGGACATACTGTCCTACGTTTGCTGCACTGGATTCCCAATGCAGTTGCAGCCCCCTGTGCTCTTGACACCCTGTGTGTTTTCACAGACCGCCTGCCCTCTGTAAAAGGAGCTGCAATTTGCTGTGTGTTTGTAAAACCCCCAGCACAACTGGGCCTAGTTTGGCTGCAGTTTGAACGCCCTCATGTTTAAATGTTAAATAAGAGGATTAAATCCCTCTGCTCATTGGAAGCTGCTTTTCCTCTCCATGCTGTATTATACAAGATCCAGATAAAGATCTCTCTTCTCAATGCAGCTGAATAGTATAAAAATTGCTTACATATTAAAGCTAAAATAAACAAAAGAAAATAATAATTAGGTTACAAATTAAGAAACTATAATGTTTAACAAAAAGGTTGATGGCACCATTAAAACATATATCATGGCATTACACAGACTTAAATTTGAGAGTATGAAATAAAAGGCAGATTTAGGGGAACAGGCCCCTCCTCACCTAGCGTTTGTCTCCCGAAGCTCGTGTGCATGACAGGGGAAGGAAGGAGAAACCGGTTTGTGGCGCTACAATTGCACGCAGTAATGTAATCCAGACGGATGATTTTGGAAGACAGGAATAATATATACAGTGGCACATATATAAAGCAGTATAGCTGTCTATACAGTAGTTCTTCCTCCCTCCTCCCTTCCCTCCCCCAGCATCAGGTACTCATGGGGAGTGACCGAGAGACATAAATATTGCCATAACGCACACTGTACAGCTTTACTTTCAGCAGAAAGGTTTGATTTTTGTCACACAGCTACGTCTTGGCACCGCTGCAGGTTGAGCTCCTCTCCCAGGCTTGATAGACACCTTCTCTTCATGAATGTCTGTGTCACGCTGTGGTGGGTAGTGTTTCAGGCATCCACGGATGCCACTGGATTCTTTCCAAAAGCTCATGGTCTAACACCAGGTCAGGAAACGAGCAACTCTGTATGCCACAGGTTGTCTTCTGCACACCGTACCTTGGGCCACCCTCCTGGGGCAACTGCCACAAGTGTAACCCCTACGAAAGCATAACCGATGTGGTATTTTCAGGTGGATTAGAAGCTGGAGTGATGATGCTTTTGGTATACCAAAAGTAGTACACGGCGAACGTCAGTTGGACAGTACAGTAGGAAGGAATGTTATCCTGTAGCTACCATTATGTTTCGTTTCTGCCAAGAGCTTCTTAAAATGACAGGCACCACTCTTGTCCATTTGGCTTTTGTCCAGTACGCCACAGCCTCCTGCTTCAGCTCGCTTTTGGCTTTATCACCCATTCTGCCTGAGGATTTGCACGGTAGACATCTAACATGTAGGCGTCCGGATCCAAACAGTGCTGACCTGAAAGGGAAATCGACAGCCATGAATCACAGGATGTTTTGAGCACGTTAGTAAATGGGACAGAGCCAGGTTAAAATGTCCTTGATTATATCCCCAACCTGTGTGTAGTGAATGAGCCTACTTTGGGGTGTCCAGCTGACACCCTGCCTGGGTACAGACAGGGGCTTATATCAATTTATCCCTGCTTTTACCCAGTGAGAGCCATGAATTCACTTTAACTTCCAGGCAGGATGCCCTGCATTACACTGAGCTATGGACAAGGCATTTAGTCAAATGGTGAACAAATATTATGGTTTCTTTAAAAGCATTAACAACACTATTACTCTAAGTGCCACAGTATGGGTTTTTTCCTTTTATTTCTTTGGATTTACTGGGCTGGAATTGAAACTCTGTGAACACATTTCTGCACTATTTTTAAATGCTGAAAAAGTAGCTCTGTAAACCATGTGTTCCCATCCAGCTAGGATCTTGCAAAGAAATGCAGAGGTATTTGGCAATTGCTGTTTTGCTGGTTAACAGAAAAAAGTCTGGCAGTTTGCGCATTTCGTTAGGTGGTGACTGGGAATAGGAGTTGCTTGGGGAGTCCCTGCTGCCTTTGCCACAGAAAGAGGCATTTAGCACCTCTTAATTGAGTAATAAGGCAATAAATTCTTGAGTTAACTTGATTTGTTGGACTATATTGCATTTACACTGAGTGATGAAGCCATTTAACTGGGGAGGTTACATTGCCGTGACACCAAGGATTATGGCAAAATTTTTGTACAGTTACTTATAAGGTCACTGGGGTCCTAATGATTTTATTAAAGTGAAAGCAATATAAGTGAATTAATGCATAATCAATGGAATAAGGTACCCTCGAAGATCTAGGACTCTAAAAATAATTTTAAATGAAGAGAAAAATTAAGCGTCCAGATTTTTGAGAGTGTGGTGGGAATACTTGGGATTCTTTCACAAAGCCTTTAGGATCTTGTGTTTTAGGACTGGTTGGTCATTCTGTTTGGCCAGGCAGAACAAATCGCTAATCAAAAATGTAGCTTTGTGTGAGAGTATCTTCAGTAATAAAGACTTTGCTTCCTGACTGAGGCTGAATCAATTCTGTGATGTTTTGTAATAACGTTATAGAAACTGTTAAAGCTGAATCTAGAAGAATTAAGGAATAATCTAATCAGACAGTTGACAAAAGACTCCAACAGAGCATACAGAATTTTAGTATGAATAGAGAAAGGAGAGGCAGGACTGTGCCATATCAAATTAAAATCTGGTTTTTGACCTTTAGGCCAGGAACTTGTGTGGCAAGCCACTGTTGTTGTTATTACAAAAACGTCACTGCATGAAACACAGAAGAGGACAAAATCCTACTGCAAGGAATTTACAATCTAAACAAAGCGCATGGATTAGTATGTGAGTGTAGTACCCTCTTACATGCAGGGGCTGAATTCTCAATTCTGTGCTTTTTATTTGGAGGAGGTTAACAATTAAATACAGTGAGGAAGAAATAGGTCTTGGGAAAAAGGCTCGACAATGAGGTGGGATGTGCTGGGAAGAGGAAGACGAAGGGTCTCTTAGCCATGGAAAAATGCTCAATTATGAGAGTGAGAGAGGTAAGTGAAAGGTCAGATGAATTTGGCAAGACCGTCAGGAGTCCTGCTGAGATCCAGCCATCAGGTCACTCTCTCCTGCTGGGTGCCCTTCCAGGCCTGCTGCCATTGGAAGGAAGCGTTACATTGATTTTAACAGCTTTTGGGTCAGACTCCCTTCCTGCAGATGGGCTGGAAGGCAGGAGGGACCCTACTGTGTGAAAGCAGCGCTGTCCTGAGGTGTGTCAGGAGGGTAAGGACTTTCAGAAATGAAGTTTCAAAAATGAGACCTACCTATATTTCCTCCGATTTCATGTAAACTTTGGACCTGGCCTCTCATGTTCTGTGATGAACCGCGGCTAGGATAGAAAAAAACCTTCAGTTTGTCTTTCTGTTATAACCTTATCAACCACTACCTATATTAAGCTAAAAATTGATATTTTTGCCCCTGTGAACTTACTTATCAAAAGCAAGGACTTCCACCAAATGTAGCAATGCAGAACACTGAATCTGCTACAGAGGTAGATTGCTGCCTCACAGTTAACTAAGCCTTCTATTATTTATTTTTTATTCTTTATTTAAAGAACAGAATTATAGAGTAATATGGGAAGACTTTGCAGAAAAGACTTTCACGTACAATTTGCCATTTCCCATAACTGTTAATAATTATTACCTTACAGAAATAAAAACATTAACATTTTATAGGCAGATGTAAGACAATCCCTCTGGCTCCTCTGTGCAGCAAGTCTATAATATAAACGTGTGTTTTCAGTAGTGACATAACAGAGGGCAGACTGATTCTGTATAGAAGCTGATTATTAAGTAAAATATAAAGCATAAAATCAGCGGTTAAAATGTCTTTTACCAGCGTAACCATAAATTAGCAATTTTAGAATAGAAAAAGAGTTCTTGTAACACAATGAGTCTTTGAAAAAGGGTCAATCTATTCATTAATGGTTCTGACATTATTGTTCAGGGAAAACAAAATGTTCTGGTATACCCACCTGTTTTCACAGTGGAATCGAGCCAGGATGTCTTTGGCTTTTGTTTGGCTGTTCAGTTGAATTGCCATAGAGACTTTTGAATGTAGTGGAGCATAAACTCTTATCACCCCCTCGGGTATGTCAGACTGCAGGTATGGGGGAAAAGTGACAGCTCCCTGAAATCAATATTCAGTAGAGTAAGTCTAAGGCAAATATTGCTGTAGCTCCATTCAGAAGCAGTTCTGCTACTCTTTTGAGGTTGCTTGCAAAAATTACTGTCCTGGATTCACTTAACTATTCAAAAAACATATTTACAGTCATACAAACACAAATTTATAGATACAGTGTAAGAAGATACGACACAAAGACACTAACTCCTTGGTAAGCATCACATAAATGCATGCAGAGTAAAGCACAGCGCTGGAATTTTAACTGCTTGCAGCAATATCGAAACAAGTTTTTATCTGAGATTTTTAAAGTTATTTCTGTTAACAGTGGTCAGCGAACCAACTGCTTATTTCAAAATGCATAAAAATGACTAGGAATATCTGGTCTTGTCTTCCTTTTAAAGACTAAATTCTCCTGATGCAGGAGGATCCAGTTCCCCATTTCCACTTCTATAGCTTCAACAAGATCGAAGCTTATGAACAGTATCAAAGTACCATATGTTTTCTGTTAATTTGAAATTTGACCTTGTGTAGGGTTCAAACGATCATCTATGAAGTTTATGCACTTTTCCATGATTAATGGCGGATAAATCAATTAGCAAGGTTTGCATTCCAGTTCTAATCTAGTTAATACCATGCTGAGCAGAGTACAATTGTCTCTCCAGTCTCTGTCCCTGGGTAATTTAGAACATCTGAGACTCAGGGTTTGTGTTAAGTGCTCTCAAAATTCAACTCAGTTATCCAAACAGAGGTTGCCTTCAATTTACCCTTCATATTTCAGCTACCTGCCATGGCTAGTCTGGTTTTTATAAGATGCAAAGCCAATTACTGCGATCAATGAACTTGCCTTCCTGAAGGTGCAATGACTGCAGTAATTGACTCTCCCCAGAAGCTCTCACTGTATTTGTTCCAGGGTGAATACAGTTTTGCAACACAAAAGTCTATGCTGCCATTTTGAACAAACATCTCTGTCTCCATCTGCAGCACAAATGTCTGTCCTATCCACAATATGTCTCAGTCAATGCTGGCAAATGAATTTTCCAAAAAGCTGAATAAGCATGATTTCACAATTCATACATATAATTTATCTTTCTGGTTTTTTTGTTTGGTTTCCACCCGCCAGATGTTCTCTTCTGCATTTCCTCTGTTATCTGTATTAGGTGGCTTATTCTCTATTTCTTATAATCTCCTAATATCACTTCTTCCTAATTTGTCTTTTCTTTTGTTCTTCAAGACTATTTTTCAGTAACTATAGAGTCCTTGAGTGGTTCCTTGATTAATCCTCTTACAATTCACCAGTCTCCATTCTTTAAAACCTCCATGGAAGACACTTGAGACTTTCTCTCCAGGTTATTAAAGGTAGTTACTGCAAGGAAATACTACATATAAGCTGCTATACGGACTGTATATGTTGTGCATGTGTGCAAAACATGCTTTTTTGCCCAACTTATATGTTCCACCTAATACTCAGTTAATTCTGGGTGTCTATTGAAGTAGCATACTTCAAGTAAGTTCCTAAACTCCATATCCAGGCAGTGGAGAAAAGTTGGTGGCTTTAAGAACTCCAAAGGAAGATTTTTGTATCAGACTTTCCTAAGTCTGAACTGCACCTGGAGCTCTGGAAATCCTCAAAATTATCAACTGCTCTCCTCTGACTATATGGGGAAAACCAACACAAACTACTTTATTAGGCACTTAAAATTTAAAACCATTTTTGATGTCTATGTTAGGCAAACTGGATTCTCTCTCTGCTTAGGATGCTCGTACAAAGGTATAAAACTACAGTTTGCAAGAAGAAAATCAAGTGGCCTGGACCAAGGCATGGGTAAATGCAATTAGTCCTAATATGGACCATCCTGCTACTCATCTACAGATCCATGCATTTGTTGAATATCTACAGATCATTGCTGTCAAGGATAATTCACCTACCTCTTATAGAAGTGGTACAAAACCAGCATGTGTTTGTAACAGCTTATAGCTTGGGCTGCTGGAAATCATGCTGCCTTCCTCACCTTTTCTCAGTCAATCCCCAAAGCTTTGTCTTATCAGGAAGTTGGACTGGGAAGCACATCTTTCAAGATAGCTCCCAAATCAGCTTATTTTATATGGCAAAATTTCCTCCCCACCCCCAGAAGCTTTTAAGAGATAAGAAAGGAGGGAGCCTGGTTAAAGCTGCCCTTGAAAATGATATATTTTTATCATACCTCTGGTCTTTCGGGTCTCTCCCGTTCCATGGTCTTTCTCCTCAGAAGTTTTCTCACTCCTTTGTCAAACATCAGCTGCCTCTTACTGTTATTCATTGCTGCCTCATTCATTTTTCTCACTTGGGAAATCAGGAAGGATGGGACCTAAAGGAAGGAAACCAGAGCTGAGATTATACAGTAATTTTTTCTCCCATAAAATTGGTGTTGGGGCTTTAGAAAGGCATGAAATTTTAGGCCGCAGAAGCTCTAGTTATTCCCAGAAGATAAATGCAATTAGTAGCTCCCTCTAACGACTCACAGTTACTCCTTTGGTGAAACTGTAGATCATCTTTCATACCATATGAAACGTTTTAGTGATGTTTGCAGTTGTAGGAACTTTATTAGGAGGTAGTCTTTGCAATCCCCATCATATACTCTCTCTGTTATAAGGAATCAAGCTGAGACTGTCATCCTCTTCACACCAACCTTTGGAAGTCCAGAAAGGACTTTAAACAGTCATTTAATCTCATTCAGGTCTAGGCCTAGAGTTGTTATCTCTCCTAGGCATCGAGATTAAATCATTCTCCTATGCGTCCTCCTGTATAATCAATGCTGTGGGATAGCTACCTCCAGAGGGAAATTTGTGCTAAAATGGGTGTCTTAGATAGAGGAGGTAAATCTCCATCCAGGGGTATCTGTCACCCTATCTCATTCTAGATACGGAAGCCTCCAGCCAGTTTCCAAAGAATAGCTAACTGTTTCTTCTAGGAAAACCAGTTTACTCTGATTTCCGCAGAGCTGCTGCATATAGCAAAATACTTCTCTATATCCGAGCCATAAAGAGGGAACCAGCATTACTCACTGTCCACAGGATGTCCTGGTACCGAATTAAAAGCCGCACGATGTGCGCTGTGGTGGCGGCTGCTTGCATTTCTTGTTGGTTTGCACGTTTCCCTTTGTAGATGAAGAGGTTTGGTGCAACAATCATAGAAACATTCCACAAATTCATTTTATTTTTCCCTTCATTAGCAACCACCTTCTTCAGGAATTGAAGAAAGGCCTGGAAAAACAACACTTGTTATGCTGAGTCTCACAAAATAGTTTACTTCTTAAATGCAGCATTTTCAAATGTGCAATGTGTTTGGCTCAAAAGCTGCTACATTTGCACTTGGAGATGAAATTCAGGGTGTTTTCTAATTTGGATTACTCTGATATTTGTTGACACAACCACCCATGTCAGTCACAGAGGAATAGTTAATGTTACCAAAATATACATTAATAAATTATCTATCGCTTAAAGCATCATCCCAAATCCCTAAGTCAACTACAATGTTTGCCCAAAGGCTTTGAATCCTGTAGTAGGAGAAAGATATAAAGATTTTGCAATGGAATAGTTAATTTCTTCATAGATTTCAAGGTGTCCATTTTGACCAAGGCTTTTAATATTGTAATCACCAGGGTGATCAGCCTGTGCACCAGTCCCATACGTGATACAACCTGAAGAATTTCTGCCAGCAACCCCCAAAATTTCAATCTGGGATAATGAAAGCAAGAAGTGCTCAGTGGTTGTTCGTTGACGTCACTTCTGCACATGCATGGCAGAATCAAAGGAAACTCGTTTCCCTTTTGGGCAGTTTATTCAGAATTTCGCTTGAGTGACTGAATAGGATGGATTGCAGCTGTGGTTGGAGTTGGGGTCTGCCAATGAGTCCTTTTGCAATACCATACCATCAAAACCACTGTCTTTGTACCCTGACATTGCAATTAAAACATTTCTACAAAACCACGAATTACAAAACAGAAACTGTGTTGGAGAAATTTCTGAAATCTTGTTACAGATAGCAAGTAGAGATGCATTCAGTTTTGTCTTCACTTCTAGTTTTGAATAAAAGCCTAGTAGTAATTAAGACTACTCATCTGGTGTAGACTAGAATAGAAGAAGAAATAACTGCCATTCTTCACAGAGCACAAGTAGACCTCCAAATAAGAGGATTGTTGTTATTGTCCCTTGTTATTGTATAAATAAACACAGGTGAAGAAGGCACCTGGACTCATAAAACTGTATTTAAACTGACCAGTGGGAAACTTTCAGAGATGGGGGACTTGCAGGGTCCTGATGAGCAGGGGACCTAATGAAATGCCTGGAGGCTCCCAGGCAGCTTGTTCACCCAAGTTTCCTTTATGTGGAAACAAGTCCAAAGACACAACCAGTGTGTCTTAGGGTCAGGACATAGCTACAGCTAGATCTGGGAGCTCTCAAGCACCCAAAATGTTTGTAGCTACCGTGACTGTATCAGGAAGTAGTACATGGGTGTGGGCATGGGTTTGTAAGGCAAACCAGCTGAGGCTGAGGCCCTGACATGCGTGCTATGCATGTATGTTTCAGGGTTTTTTTACTTCACACTACCTCCTCCAGTCTGGTACAGTGCCCTGGGAACCCTTCAACACTAGTAATGCACTAGGCGAGCTCCTGGGAGGCAGCTTCTCATCCCAGAGAATTCCAGTCATGCAGAAACTCAGAAAATGAACCTTGTTTTTCCAAACTGTGTGATGAACATGCCTCTCTGAAATGGATGCTCCAGAATAAATGATGCCTGGGAGCTATTTACTGACACCAGCAACTATTTCTTAATTGCTTGTAAGAGAAATGACAGCCAGGGGAGTGGAACATCTTTTCAAGGAAATGATAAAAAACACAGATGAATACTTTTCATGGTGCAGCACCTGATTAATGGCTGTTAGAAAAAAAAAAGTGTCTCTCATTTAAAAGTCAAAAGCACCACAGATGGCAGGTGATAGCAAAGGAAGAACTTACCTTGGCTGTGTCTCTGTTGGCTTCAGGCAACAGCATGATCAACAGATGCAAAGCTTGTAGCTGTAACTTGATCTTGGAGATTTCTAAGAATATGAATAATTAATATTTTTTAAATCCCAGTTACAATGGGTTTGTTCTAAACCCTTGTTGGTCAGCAGTTCTAGAAACACAGCAACCACTGGCCACTTGGGACTAGCATGTTTAGATATATATTAACCATAATCTTTTCCCCAAGTATAAAAACAATTGTAATGAGTAGATTTTTCCTAATCATCTTGGGTCTTTGTCACAGGGGGAGACAAAGCTCTAAAAAATTCTGTTGAAATAGCAAAGAGCCAATATTTTTCAGTACTAGCCAGTTTCTCTTTGATATTGTGGACAGAATGTGTTGTATATGGATCAAGCATTTTCCCCCTTTCAAACTGAAATGGATATTTGTTTTCAGAAAATTTTCAGACTGTTGTTATTGAGTAATTTGCTGAACACTTCTGCCATTGGAGTGGAGACCGATTGCTTATAACTGAAAAAGTATTTTTCCCAAGTCTAGCGCTCTAGATAAATGCAGACCCCCCTGTTTGTTACAAAATACCATCATGTTTTTCAGCAATTGGTGTATATTGATAGTGTGCAATGCTTAGAAGAGCTGGGGTGGAGAAGATTGGAGACACACACTAGGAGATCGGAGAAGATCTGTCATTTGTTTCCATTCAGGGTGGATGAGAGAGGTTTGGAGAAAAAAAGAGTGTGTTGTGGATAGTGTATCTGTTGGAGGGAATTAAGTCACTTTATTCTGCACAGACATCTGATGTTCAGTCTTCTCCTCCAAACTGCTAAGCCATCATAACTGCATGCAGTCTGGGACTCATAAGGAGCACACTCAAGTACGTGAAGGTTGCAGGAAGGAGTCACCTCCTTGTGCCCTTTACCTCATGGAGACACTAAAGACTTGGCTGCAACCTTATATAAAGGTTCTAAGTTTTCTGTACCAATTTGCTTAATAAATTCACCATCCTAAGTTTCACTCTGTCCTTGCTTAAGTGAATTTATAATTAAGCCAATAGGTATTGGAAGGTATTACTGTGTTCTGCCTGGAAGAGGAATGAACAAAATGTACTGAGAAGGAGAGGGTGTATGTACACTGAAAACAAAGCCTGACTGCCTGAAGCTTTCTGTGACCACATATATCTTTGTACGAATATCCTGACCTCAACATAAACCTGGAGAGAAATAAGGTAGATCCAGTAGACTATCAGCTAAAGGGCAGTGACCTGAATTTACCTTGCAGAATCTTTCATTTGTGAAATCTATAATTTGTGTGAATCAGAGTCTATATATGAAAGTCATTGCTCAGCTAGCATTTGCTCAGATTTCAAATCTCACATTAAACAGTTGTGTCACTCACAAAAAGAGTCTATGCTATTAGCAAAATGCAGAGACTTCTTTCCATTTGAAAAGGAAAGCTTGCAGAAAATTTAAATGTTTATGCAGTGCACTGGGCCTTTTTTCCCTCTACTTCAGAGAGAGAAAAAGATGACATGTTTTTTTCTCTCTAGTTCAGAGAGGGAAAAAAATGTAATGTCTATGATTACATTTTATCTAGATCAGTTCATACTAACTCCTTTTCCACCTACTTTCCACTAGTGTGATGAAAGCAGGCAGATATTCTACTGTGAAGAGAGGGCTTGGGAGTTCTCTTATAAACATTTTCAGCAGTCCGGCTGCATCATTATTTCGTACTTGGTCCCAGTCAAAAGTGTCTTCATAAAATTTTGCCTCAAGTTCTTGATGGAGATTCTGAAAGATAAAAGGAACATCTGACCTTTAATCATTGCTTCTGACACAGCAGTTTGAGATCACTTCAGAAATCCCATTATAAACAACAGGCAGGTTTAGAGCATAGTTAAATTAAAGTAGCCCTAGACCAGTAGCAGTGTAGGTACAGCTGTGTGGAGTTCACAGCAGGTTAACAGATCAGGTTCCTGGAGATATTTTGCAACCCAGACTAAATTTGGATTGCATTAGCTAGATTTCTGCCAGTTACCTATTTGAACCATTTTAAAGCAAGACAATTTTGTGCAATGTCTTATAACTAGAAAGAGAATATTCAGTTATACACAATTTTTAGCGCCGCTGATCTTTTTGTTTAAAACACTCTCCAGAGGTTTTGATTGTTAAATCACAAAGGAGTGGCATATCTTCCTCACTGCTGTGAACTTGGTAGACAATCTGGTGGCATCCAAATCCATGGTCCATGAGCCAATGGCTTTAAGTTCAAATCTTCCTGTCTTTAGAAAGATGTTTTCTTTTAGAACGGCTATAATTAGATTTGATGACTTCATACTAAAATAAAGGGATCAAACCATTGCTATCAGCAAATCTCCACATAATACATGCTAAACCCCTCCTCAGAAAACACAAGATATCCAAGACAGAATTGTCTCTACTATTTTGGGTGCCCATTTAATCCTCTTGTTCTCCGTGTCAGCGTCTTGCTCTATAACAGAGGTCTGTTTCGTTCTGGAGGGTAACTAATCAATGTCTCACACGTGTGTGTGAATGGGAAATACTCAGTAAGGTTCCTCGTAGGAACAGAATTTGGCTTCAGACCCAGGTCACTGTTTGGCAAATGCAAGCTCCTCAAAAAGTGGTTGGGTTAATAAGATTGAAGGAGGCTATTGTAACAGAAGGATAGCCATAAATAATGCATCTTTCACAATTATTACTGGCCAAACACTGCCTTCTCTATAGGATGTTTGTTGCTGCTCTCTGTGAGGCCAATTATAACAAATGGCAACTGTAACTAAGATTCAGTTTTCAGAACATGTTTTACCAAATGTGCTTTAATACCACGCAAAAAAGTTTAGTCCATTCAGACAGAAAACTTTCAATAATGGATTCTGTTTACTGTGCCTCACATGAATGGAAGGAAATTACATATCAAATATGGTCACACATAATGAAGTGAAATGGCTGGCACAAAAGGAAATAGAAAGTCACTCAGGATTTGGTATATAATGTTACAATCTCATTTTTACTAGCACATTTTACTAGTTGTAATCTGGGCTACCTCAACTTCCTCTATATTCACATCCTTTGCACATAATCCATACAGGCACCTGGATTAAATTTTCTCCTTGTAAGTGACTGGGAAATGTGGAACAGAAATCCTCACCTCATCAAAATCACAAGTGGAGAGAAAAACTACTCCACGTTTTTTGCTCAGAATTGGGAAAAAAACCATAGAAATAGAAAGCAAGATTTTTGAAACATAAATGTTTAATATATATATATCCACACAAACATGTGTGTATATTTTATACATTCCCCCCACCATATACACATGTATATGCTCTAAAGTACTTTTAAAAAACATTTTTGCAATTTTTTTTTTTAAATGTGGCTGTTCCTACAGTAGACTATCATGCATTTTTTGTTCACTGGAGCTTTTGTTACAAACCAGATTACAGAGAGAAACTTGTTATTTCTTCTATTCTTTGTTTTATAGAAGAGTAACCTTTAATCACTTCCATATGCCTTCTCTTTCTCCAAACAAGACGGAAATAAAACTGGAATGCCCTCAAATCCTAATGTCATAATAATGTATGAAGGCTTTGAAGGATGAAATCTGGATCTGCTTTGAAAACATCTCTCTCTTGCTGGTTGGCTTGTTGGACAGACTTAAATGAAACCAAAACTCAAGTAATTTAAAACTTTCATATGGGCAGTCTAATTTGCCACCCAGTCTAGGAGAGTTACGTATACAGTCATATCTCATAGCAGCTGTCTGGATATAGGTTGTGGATAAGAAGTGAACAAGACCCAGTACAGAATATGCAAAGAATACCAAAGCAATTTAATTAGGTAGAGCACAGCCCTGCTGTGTAATCTCCCCGGAGAAGTTGGAAAAAATTGAGATTGTGCGAGATAACACTTTAAGTATTTGTATGAAAAAAATGAGGAAGCTGAAAAGTACAGGCCAAATTCGGAGGTCCCTTCTGTGCAAGATGTGGCACTTTGCAAGGTGCTGAGTGCTTTTATCAACCCACAGATTCAAAGGGAGCTGGGATGCTAATGCCTATCTCTGGTGCATTCCATGTAATGCTGCTTTTTCTTGTACAGTCATTTTTTATGATCCTTAGCCCATCAATGTTTAGCAATCCCCAGCATTACTCTTTCTGTGGCTGCCATGATGTTGAGACTGTCTGCCTCAGAAAGCAAGACTAATTTTCTTGGGATGCACCATAAGAAGTTTCTTAAACCAGCTAAAAACAAAAAACAACCCAGAAAAACCAAAAATCTGCGAAAGAGGTAGACACTACTAAGCCCAGAACAAACTTGTTTTTCTAATTTGCCTCTGCCAAGGCCTTCCAGCTACTGGAATCAAGTTAGTCTGGAGAAACAATTGCAAGCATTACTGCACCTCAATGTCAGATTACTGGGTACCAACTAGCCTGTGTTCATAGCCTGTAAATAGCCTGTGAAAATGCAGGCTGCCAAACAGTAAAATGCAGGCCAAATTTCTCTCACTTGGAACATGAAATTGTGAGATCACAGAAGATAAATGAGAAATAAAATAACAGAAAGGTTAAGAAGACACAGAATAAGATCTTTATCTGAAGTTCACTTAGTTTAGCAACTCTGGATTTCTGAAATAAATTAAAGCAGAGATAAGATCACAGCAATTTTGGCTGCCAGACATAAACTGAAAGGCTCACTCAATGTTTAGTGGAGAAAAACTGCATTCAACATCAAGTCTGTGTTTTATACAGAACATTAACAAATGCAAAGCAATAGACCACATGTTCTGTGATTTATTGGTTCCCAGGAACCAATCTGACCTTTCACTGGTAGGAATAGAAATGCTGATCTATGCACATCAGTATTTATGTGCAGTGTGCATTTGTGTGTACTCTATTATTTTACATAGGGTCTGTGGTCCAGGAGACAGAAAACTGGCACAAGCACTTACTTTGACTCTGGAGGCAGATCCAGGCACTCGTAGAATTCCTTCAGTTTCTAAACCTGTTTCCTCAAGCTTGAGCAGCAACTGGAAAAAAAAAAAACAAACATCAAAACCCAGGAAAATACTCAGAAGCTCTTAGAAATACTATTAACTTTTTTTCAGTCTGCATATCCTTGAAACTAATTTGAAGAAGATACATTTCTATGTAATTTGCTAACGAAAACAAGCAAGCTCGTGTAAGCAAACCTTCCTAATTTGTTCTTCATATTTCTGACCCTGAAATACAGAATATGCAGAGTACGGAAAACCCCCCTGTCCTTGATTTGAGACTTGGCACTGCTATAGAACAATTAACACATAAACATATTAATAAAAGGGCAGATACACTAGGTAAAAAACAATGGTGTTTTGAGGGAAAATTAACCTCTGAGAAATGTTTAAGTCTTTCCCCAAGGAGCACAATGGAAAGGTCTATAGATAACATACGTTCCTTGGAACTGAGAACTCAGATTAGAAAATGATCCCAGGGTATTTTAGCGTGAATTTTCTGTGAATAGAGAAATACGCTTTCCACTCTAATACATTATAAAAAAAATAAATGTTTTGATTTAGCATTTAGAACAAGGAAAAAAATAATAATTTCCTAGCATTTATTCATACAGCTCTGGAGTTTCACCACCAGCTCTGCTTCCTGCCCTAGCTTTTAGATCCTACTAATTTCCCATGGTACCTTGACAGGGGGGCTGTGGAGCTGATTGCAAAGTCACATCAATAGTCAAGTCATGTCAGCCCTTCCCCTGACCCTCCAGACCACTTCCCCTTTTGTCAGTATTTACAGGGAAATTTGTTATAGTTTCGAGTCCGTGTAAACTTGTGTAACTGCATGTGTGCTTGTGACTGTGTACCTGTCTCCAAGGCATCCACTGGATGTCATTGTACTGTCTAATGACTTAGATAAATAACATTGTCTGGTCAAACAAACCTCAATGAGAAGATACCCCTTCCATTCTGGAAATAATAGCTAAGTAATATCTACAGTTTGAATTCATGTTATATTAAAACTCCTGAGACAACTCATCTCTGCCACTTCTGCATACACACACAATTTTGCACAGGTCTCTAATTTCATGAGAAGGGGAAAGAGAAGGCCAGACATTTCTTTCTCAAAGTTTCATGTATGGCATCATATAACTACAAAAATCAAGAGAGGTTCCCACCATAGATAAAACACACAAAAAGCAATTTTTTTCTCATTGTCACAAGGTTTTCAAATCACAGCCTACAAACAGACAACCTGCAGACACTTTCAAGTCTGTAAAGGCTGCATCATCTTTTATCTGATAACTGTGTGTCACTGACACAGAGTGTCAGTGCAGATGAAGGAAAAATGAATCTTAGTGGCCGGGAAGGCCGAATTATACTCACTTTTTGGAAGATGAGGGGAACTTTTATTCCAGGAACCTTCTTTTGATCATTCTCCAGCAGTACGGTGAGAGGGACTCCAAACAGACCATTTTCTTAAAAATAATAACAGCAAAGGTGAGAGAGAAAATACAGCCTCGAACGCATCTTCTTAGCTACGCTGAGCAGCGCCCAGGTGGCCACCATGGGGGTGGCGCAGCACGGTACCTCGTCCCCGCACCCTCTCCGCGCGGTTCCTCTTCAGCTCCACCCCCAGTGCGTCGTAGAAGGCCGTCAGCTCAATCAGGGAGAGGTAGCGGATCTTCTTCATGTCTTCAGGAGAGAGGTCTCCAACCTCTGTCAGTCCAAACCGGCTTTTCCGAACAATGAATTTCTATGATAGAGATGGGTCGCATCTTTATTTACGCAAAATTTACAGGACATGAATTTATGTTTTGAAAGAGATGCCCATATGGGATCAGAAGTCATATTAGAGTAGACGGGTAACACCAAAGAGCTGAACTACAACCCTGTGTATTGGCCAGGTATGTTGACGTAACTTGCATTCATCTCACACATAAAATTGAGCTTCTTGCTCACCATGTTGCCTTGCAATTTGTCTGGTAAATGGTGCTGGAGCAGAGGTATCAACCTCAGTGCCTGTTCACCAGCTGGGACAAATGAGCTACGTGCTACTTAAACTTTTGCCCAGTTTCAGGAGGATATAACATTTTGCTCTGCTTCTGCCTCCCCCAGAGCATCTTTGAATGCTGTTGAAGTAGCTAACATATTTCATCAGGGATATGGTTTTATGTCTGTATTTGTGTAATGAATCCATGCCTGCTTTGCATATTACTATTAATTTATGAGGTCTTATAGGACAGTTCAAACTGAAGATCTGAGGAAAAGCCCAGAAGCAAAATCACTTAGTCCTGATGCCAACGTGCCAATTTACTGGTATTTTTTATTACTCAAGAAGCATTTAAGCTTAGAAACAGGACTCCCAGCAGCTAAGAAATTATTTATTTGAGTAGGCTTGAACTAAGTGATACTTAGTAATTTGGGGGCATGTGAAGATGTCTACATATTTTAGAAACTGCAGTGCTGTGGAACAGAGCCAGGAATGCTGTGTCATGACAGAAGCATTTGTACAAATGTTAGAAAGAACAAATACCCATAAGTTTTTGACATAGTTGTTAGACATAACAACAAAGTTATAGTAAAAAACATGCTTTTCAAAGAACTGTGAATCTTTGATATTTTGGTATGTTTGTTGTTTTTTTTTAATTTAATTGTAATTTAAACCAATAATCGTTAGTCGAAGGTATAAATAAATAGCATTACAAATCATCTCCTCCCTTTAGGGAACTGAGTGGAAACCCAGCCTTTAATAATGTTTTGCTTCTGGATATTTCAGCCCAGTCCTCCCTTTTTTAAACAAATATGGACTCAATAGGCTTAACCCATCTTGAAATGAAGGCAGACAAACAGATTAAGAAAAACACAAACAAAAAAAGAATTAAACTTATACCAGATTTTAAAAGTAAGAGAGGACAAAGGACATCTAGATCATGTAGGGTAGGACTTCCTAAATCACATTGCACAGGGTCTTTCAATAGGACTTAATCTTAATTGGGGGATAAAGAGTGAAGGGGATGGAAAAACTAATTTACATGCTGCCTAGGGCATTTTAGGCCATAATCTTCCCTCCCCAGACTGCAGCAATGCCACTGTTACTCTTATGCTGAGAATAATGTAATAAAAGCTACATGGAGGATTGTCTTCTGAAGACACAGAAAATACTAAAGAATATCTATGCATTTTGGTTCCAGTGATGAAAAAAGTGCAAAAGCAAAGCACAATAAATCATCCTGAAAATAAGAAAAAGTCACGCAGTACACATGTATTTTCTGAGGGGAAAGAGAAAAAGTCCGTTTGCCAAGAAAAAATGACAAACATTCCAAACCAATTACAAAGGATAGCTACAATGATTTTCCGTGGTGGCTGTCTCCTGGAGTCATGATAATGTGATGCAGTGTTAACACAAGGTTTTGGGCTGGGCCTCTTTCTTCTGTCCTGTATTACAATTTTCCAGTGATTTTTCTAATAAACAGTGGAGTCATAATGTGCAGCACTGAAGGAGGCTGTACTATCCTGAAATTAGATTACTAGTGTTTTGGCTAAGGATCATGTCTGATATTGTGTGTACTAAGTACGGTGTACTAAGATGGGCCTGAAATGCTTACTGATTCTGTAAAATCTTCAGCTAAATCACGTTGATCAGGCTCCCACATTGGGGAAATTGCACTATGCAGACAGAGATGTTGAGCTGGCTCCTCTGGGAGCTGCCAGGGGCATGCTATTTTATGACATATAACCTCTCTCTGTGCAGCTCAGTATGTGCTATCCATGAAGCTGGTTGTATTAACGGGTCAGACCTGCCCTGGAGAATCCACTAGCAAGGAAGTATGATGTGCAGGCTTCGGTCTGTCCCTGTTGCCTCATACCTTGAGGAAGGGGGGGACAATCCTTCAGAGGGTAGGCAATTGGTCTCTCTGTGTAACAGAGCAAGAGGTGATTTTTTTGCTGGGGTCCATTACCATATGAGCCATTATGGGAAAAAGCAAATTCCATGAGTAGCAGCATATGAAGTAAGAGAAATGCCAATGTCAACAGCTACGATTGTTGACTTAACTTAGAAAATCTCTGTTTTGATGACCTCGCATATTTCTCGTATACTCTTCCAAGCACACAAAATGATGTCCTGCATGCAGAATAGTTCATCTCCAGCACAATACTGTCTTTTTCTAATACTAATCAATTAGGCATCCGCAGGTCCATGATATTCTGGCATCTTCTCTTCCCTGTTTGTCACCAGTTTCCCTGCTCTATCAACTGGAAATTGTCTAAGCTGTTGCAGAGAACAATTTGTGTGCACATGTGTTGTTGTGGAGGCTGGGGTCCTAGGTTTGCAAGGATGAATGTTTAGTTTGCCAAAATCATAATGAATGCAGAGATATCCTATCTCCACAAGATACCAAGTTATCCACACCTCAAAGAAAGCCAGACACACTAAAGCACAGGGATTTCACACCAGGTGTAATCTACTTAGTGTCTTATCCCTCCTTTCATCAGGGAATCTTAATTCTGCATCTCACATTCTTTTTCCTTGCTGGTGCCCAAGATGGACAAATGGATAATTCTTGGACAATTCAAGGTCTGTGTGGATAGCAATAATTTCAGATTAATTCAGGACTTCGGGACATCATAACCTTCAGGAAATGCTTCCAAATAATTTATAGCTGTTTCATAAATTTAACTAAAAAGATGGTATCTGAAGCATAAACTTAATGCTCCAGTTTTTGGTAATGGAAGTTGTGAGGGCTGATGGAAACAGGAAACTGACTTCCTTGACTTGAAGAAATAATTTCAGATAATGACATGACTGCTCAGTGCATGTCTGGTTGGATGATATGATATGATAAACTTTCCTTTAACCATTCATGCAGTATCCCCTGTAGCGTAATTGCACAGAATGCTGATTGGAGACAGCAGTACTGCTGCAGGACTAAGGCTTGCTCTCCCCCCTTCATCTGTGAAGTGATTTTAAATCCCTGTGTTAACAAAGGCAGATAATCTGCGGGGGAATAAATCAGGAAGGCAGACCAGTAATGAAAATGATTGTTAGTTTTAGTGCCAGCAACTGGTCTTTATTCCGGTGTGAAAAATGTGTGGACGATTCAATACCACCTGCAATGGGCACAAGTGAAAACTGGGCTTGAATATTCAGCATAGCTTTGGTGCCTCTCTGGGAAGCAGTCACAAGTGTCAGGGAGGCAGAGCGGGCAGCCTCTATGAAGCACACGTAGCAGAGGACAGCTAATGCATCTTAACGGGCCCCAATGTGCTGGGGATATAAAGCAGGAAATTCCTGGGTTAAAGAAAACAATTGAGGAAATATGTCGAGAACAAACTTACAGGCAAAGCAGAGTCTTCCTTTTTGAACCTCTGGTTTTTCGGCCATTCTTGGGTTTTTGGAAGGACCGCAATGGATTCTGAGAAAGAGACCTCATAGGAGAGCTCTTCTGTTACGGATGGGCTGCCTTTATCTAGTCCGCAGTCTAGACAGCTATTAGCTGAAAACAAGGGAAACTATGTATGAATACTGGATATATGCTTGCATTCAGTACAGAGACATTAAAAATTTCAACCAAGATGACAAAAATCTTGAGAAAGTAATAAAGGAAGTGCTTCAGAAGGGATTTCAGTGTAAACCACAGCATGTTCCTGTTTTGTCTGGAGGAAATAACCCCTTCAAAATTAAATCCCTATTTTCATTTTAGATTATTTAACTTGTTGCTTTTCGTGAGAAAGATAGTCAAGCTGGAACTTCCTGTTTATCAGCAATTATCAAGGTTTTGTACTCCATCCTTGTCTACTGAGGCCAGCAGACTGGGATGGCACTTGTGTAATGAACAATTTAAAAGTTCCTGATAGAAAATTGCTGTTGACACAGTTTCTCGGGTCACTGTTCACTTATTTACAATCATAAGACATTATGCATACATTTATATGCTCTCATACACATATTTCTCACAGTTGCTAGTTTAGCTGGTTAGCATCAAAACAGGACTCAATGTACAATCTTCCAGTTCAAAAATCACTATATCTACTGGAATTTCTGGTACATATTTTGAAATTCGTTATTGCTCTGCTCTAAAATTTAGTCACCTGCTGAAACAAGTGGAGGCCAGAGGAAAATTTTTTAAATCAGTACAAGTAAGGACAGAAATAGCCTATTGTCATGGAGTCCAAAGAGTGATAACATGCATGAATTCCAGTGTTGCCAACTTTCATGACTGATCTCTCACATCTCAGGACAATTTTAGGTTTTCTCTTAAGGTCCTGCTCCCAGACACATGCAATTCGAACAGAATCATAATTTTCATTGGAAGTGAAGTAAAATTTCAGCCCCCAGGACTGCATAGAAGAGTTTACTAACTGGACTGAAGTGCATTCAAAACCCATGGAAATTAAGAAGTGAATTAGAAATCATTACATGTTTTATAAACATGTGCATGCCCCATGATTGTTGAATCATTGCATTTCTAGATACAGTGACTTAAACATTTTTTGCAATGCCCTTTGTTTTGCAAGTATGGTTTGAAAAAGCTAAGTGTGGTATTAGGCGGCTTCTGAACTGTGGCCTTAAATGTTACCTAATGGCCAATCCATTTAAGATGTTTTCCATCTCTCTGTCTATTCTTGGGCCTGGGACCACAGACTGTCCATGGTACCCCTGGCCATTTGGTTCCCCACCTCTTCTAGGACAACTACTTGCAAAGCAGAGGTATCAGCAGAGCAGCTTTTGCAACCAAGGAAAATGTCTGTGGCACTGTATCCAGAGGTAAACATCTAAGACACTAGTTTTAAAACTCAGGTATTCATATCCCTTTAGCTAAGCCCTTCACAATGGCCATGGGAAGAGCTCTCAAAATAAAAGACAGACATTCCTGTGGAAGGCTGCTGACAGTTATGCAGGCACTGAACAGAGCAGAGCTATCATTTTCATTAGCACTGCCAGTCACTGTCAGGGTAAAGTGTTTAAGGGTTGTCCAAAATAACACCATTAGTAGACCAGAATAATAGGGACAGAACCAGAAAAATGGTAACTTTCTAATACTACGATTTCTGCAGTACTGGAGAATAAATGTGAAAGAAATACGCATCTTTCTTGTCATTCGCAACAAGTAAATAAACTGCTGATATATTTTGGACAAAATTCTGCACCATGTTGTTTAGAGGTTATTTTTACCTTCCCAACCTTGCAAAGATGAGTATTTTTTAGACAGTGATGCCTCAAGGGCAGAAATTTAGGTCTGTACAACACCAGTCTTAAATGGGAAACTTTGATTCCTGCATGATAATAAGCTGACAACGATTTTAAGGAAATATATGCAGCATGGCCTCAACACGAAAGAGGAGACTAACTTCAGAACCACAAAAGGATCTTTCTGTCTATCATTTTCCTAGGAGGAAGTGAACACTGGTTACAGGATGGCATACTCACAGCTAACTGATTTCCAAACTGGCTTCTGCCCAGGAAGCTGGATACCATTAGAAGGAACTGGTGACACTGGAACTGTCTCAAATGTGGGCTGATGGGCAAGGAAAAATGATCAGACCGCAGTGAAGGTAAACATCTATGGACAGAAACTGCTACAGTTTAAGCAACCGCGTTATCATTCTCAGCTTACACTCTTTTGCCAAGTTTAAACCACCTGTAGTGATTCACCGAGCACATTTTTCACAGCCAACCCTGAAAATTAATCTTCCCCAGGCTGCACAGACTTGGATCATGTTGAGGTCAGTAATATTGCAGCTCGCTGTAGCTAATGAGTCCTGTCCTATATAATGACTGAAATTAGCTAAGTAAATTGCTGTACATAATTGTACTAAGTGAAAGGTCCTCATCAAATTGTAATCCATCCTGCTTCTAATCATTTCAGCCACAAATCTTTTTGAGGACTCTCTGACACATGTCAAACATTCACTGCTCGCAAGCACCTGTTAGAAACCAGGCTGTGTAACCCCTTTCATGATTTGGACACCAGCAAATTATTAACACAGGGATGTCCTCCCAAAGGTTATATACTAACACTTAATCAGTGAATTGAAAAAACAGTTGTTTTTTTTTTTTTTTAAAAGACCTTTTATATAGTCAACCTAATTTCTTTCTGCTTCAGAAATCATTCTGCATCTTGTGAAAATGGGGGAAGTGCGTGTGGCACAACAGAGAAGGGTTTCTAAAGCTGAAGGAGTGGCTTTCAAGCACTGTCACTTCTTGGCAGCTGAGTTTTGTCCTTGTTTTCAGCAGTTTTGGGACTCGTCATAAAGGCTAATCTAAGCACTTGTGTGTATGCAGGGCAGTAGCAGCTCACCTTCACATTCTTGGGTAAAAAAGCCAAATGTCATGAATTTAAAAAAATACTCTGAAGGTTGCTCAGTGAAAATAATTACAATACCCCAAACCAGCCTTGTACTTTTACATCTGTTTTTGCATCCTGGTGGTTGCTCTTGGAGCCCTCCCCACTTTCTCAAACCTGCCTCACCCCCACCAGCCTGATGGAGCAGCTCCAGCTTTCCAGCTGAACCTGCAGCTGGGGGCCTGGATGAGTCCAGAACAGCCGCTCTTTAAATTGCTTTTTAAATTGCTCTTTAAATTCCTAAATCGGCTGTTTATCAACAAGCAGCAATGCCTCAGGGCAGAAATTTTGTTTTCCCCATTTGTAGCCAATGCACAGGAGCAGCATTCAAGCTGCTAAAAAATGCCAGATATTTAAAAGACAGGCAGCTCTTCCAACTGGAAGCCTGAAATAATGTTGCCGTTGTTTTATTCTGTCTTATCCTCTGAGCTATTCAGGTAACAAAGTCAAATGCAACATGAAGAAAATCTCTCCTAAGAGAGTACATTCAATGACCTGCAAACTTGATAGCAAACAGGATTTGAGTCACATGGACTTCCTTTGCCAGAAGACTCTAAGGACCATTGATTATTTTTTTTTTAAAAGGAGAACTGTAGGATGCTTTTATGATAAAATCCCATAACATTTACACATCTAGGACATAAAAAAATGAGATAAATTTCAGTTGGAAGTATAGAAGTAAGGGGAGAGTTAAACTTGCCTCAGCAGTTTGGGAAAATCAAATGTAGAAGTAGCTGTTCCGCTGGTTAAGATCCGGATGGAGAAATTAATAGCAAAATTAGCAACTGGCTTTCACTGCTCAAAATACCTGACCCCACAAACAGTATTCAGCATAGATTTATAGTGAATCAAGTTTATCAAGAAAATCTGAATCCTTCCAGCCTTGTTACACAGGTGAAATCAATAGTGAGGCAGCTGCTGCAACCAGGTTTGGCTAAGGACAGAGGAGCAGGTGGAAGGGAGCTGACAGCACAACTCTGCCTCGCACACAACAGTGCCTGCAAGAGCCTGCAGGTTGCTCTAGCCTCTGGCAATTGAATGTCACGAACCATGTACTATATCAGGGGTGGCTAAAGCCATCATATTCTTGGTCTAATTTCCCAGCCTCTACAGGGAGAGTGTATAAAAAAGCCAAATCACTGTATCTTTTGTAAAAATCTCTTCCAAACAGAACTCTCCTCTGCAAGCTCTCCTCCCCCTCTCTTTTTTTTTCTTCATCTTAGGATAATTTGATACAAAGAAAGGAAAGCCTGGGAATAAGGCCTTTTAATGCATGAATTTTCAAGATCCAAATTGTGCCTTTAGTAAAAATGAAGACCAAAAAACTTTGGAAGCTCATGCCTTAATGAATGTGAAAGGGCAAGAGTCAAATTTTGTCCTTAACTAAATGGAGACAGCTTTATTCATTTTGCTGGGGCTCCAGTGGAAGGCAAGACTTCTCATATCCTGATTTCTGACTGAAAGTTATTCATTAGACAGTTCTCATTATCTAGTACTAAAAATGAGCCCAGTGTTTACTGGCACAATGTACACAGGAATTTCCAATGGGAAGAGGAAACCAGAAGAGCAAGGAAAAGATGGAGATGAAGTAGATAGTTCTTTAGTAGATACCCTCATTGTAGAAGATGTAAAAGCAAATCATTGGAGCACCAAAGTGACCAAATCCTATTGTCAGCCCCGCAGCTAAGGGAAATAAAGGCAAAGAAGGACAGCCTTAAAACTCTGGTCAGGATACATGTTGCCCATGCTTTGGATATATTTGTATTTCCGAGCGCTGTCATCACAAATGTATTTTCATGCAAATAGCACTGTGTTAGTTAGTGATTCTTATTTAATTAGGACATGATTTTCTCATGCATTGCTCAAGTAAAATGCTTCTATAACTCTTGAAGAGTTTTAGCTGATCACAATGTGCAGGTTTGGGCTGTTAATGAGCACGATGATTCGTTTCCTCCCGCCAATAATAAAATCAATGTTTTCCCCCAATTTGTATTCTGCTGTTGATTTTTCTAGGCTTTGAGCACTAGCAGAGCTGATAGCTTCTGATGGAAGCAGCAGGGGACCAGCAGTAGGGAAAATCAGGCCACTGTGATTAATAAACCATCCGATTTAAATCTCCGTTGTGTGGCAGTCAGTTGAACCTGCTGCGTGTAGGCCTGTCTGAAGAAGAGCAGAGGCACCTCAGCTGGGGCAGGCTGCTCCACCGAGGCATCACTCTCAGAGGAGCAAGGTACCACAGGTGTTGCATTTTGCTCCTGGGATCACAATAACTTTCCAGGGTGGCCAGCAGAAAAAAAAAAAATCAAACCAAACCACAACCTGCCAAAAAGGAGATATGGTTTCATCTCCTTTCATTTCAGTCCAGTTGGGATGTTGAGGGAACACTCCTGCCCTGAGGGGATGGACCTCAAGGCAGGATGAGGGAAAAGCACCTTTTCCTCTGTGTTGACCTACACAAACACTGGCCACCGGGCAGTAACATCAAAACATCTAGCAAGTAGGTTTTTTCAGAACAGAAAAAATAAACTAGGGCAAATCTGTTTTTTTTTTTTTCTTTTTCTTTTCTTTCTCCTCTCTGGATGACAACTATCTATGCTTCTTCAATGGTTCCCTAAATCTCATCTCAGGTGACCCTAGTGAGATAATCACCTTTTCTGTCATCATTAGTCACAGAGGAGAGTAATTCTTCCTGTGACCCATCCCTCTAGGCTCCTGTAGTGCTTAGGTTGTTGGGAAGAAGATGTAAGTCCATCCTCCTAATGGGGAGGATTATAGGTTTAGATGAAGCAATTAGAGCTGTTTCGCTAGTTGCAACATGTTTACTTCTTCCATTCCCAACTGAAAAAAAGGATGGGAAAACAAAACTCCTGCATCTCATTTCAAGCAGTCTTTTTCCTAGCCCCTCTTCAGCAGCTTTGCTAAAAAGATTTACCTCTCCCTGTTTCCTGTTGCTCTTCTGTTTTGGCTGGGTGGTTTTTATTCTAGATCACTTTCCCAAACTGATTAATCACAAAGATTCACTGATAGCTGCAGTGCCATGCCCAGAGGCCACAGAGCTTGACCCCCTTACAAAGGGCTGCTCAGAAAACCCTCTGCTTGGGGCACAACACCCCTCCTGTGATGCATCCCTGAGGAGCTGATAATTAGGAAAAACTATATAAATCCCATAATAAGCAGCAGAGATAGGAGCAATGGTCAATGGGAATGCCCAAAGGGTGTTGGGAACCTTGCAGGCTTTTAGAAATTCAATCTATCTCTTTTGTAGCCCTTTGGAGGGAGGGAGGTAATGATGTGCTCTGGAGCTGTATTTCTGCGTCTAACATTTAAGTATCCTGCAGAACTGCAAATATTTGTGGGAAGAAGAATTAGAAGTCTTAATTGCTTTTTCAGTCTTATCTTTCAGACTTTCAAAATGCAGAAGTAGTAGGTGAGCTGAATTTCAGAGAAGGTAAAACAGTGATCTGAAAGGCAATGGCTCTGAAGCACCTGATTCCTTTAGCAAGTGACAGAGGTGAAAAATAAGCAGGTCAAAAGCACATCAATAATGTGCCTACCTGAGAAAACAGGTGCAACATTTATTTGTCTGATTGAAATTTATTAGGAAACTTAGGTTTTATTGCAACTTTTAAAAATTTTAGACATACTAAGGTTTACAGATACTTGAAATGGGAGAATTGTGCTAATCTAATAAGAAGCGCCATCAACATTTTAATGTTCATGCAAACATGCCTGAGGATTTCTCATGCAAGACAGTCTGCCCACAGGAAACTACTGGATGCTTCTGGATATATTTGTGGGATATGCGCAAGAGGTTCAAAAGAGCCCAGATACTTAAACTGGAGACAAATAAATTAACTCCCCAACTGTTATGTGTTTGTAATTTTAATATAACTATGCAGCTACAGTTTTGTCTCCAATGTTTTGTTTTAAATTCATCCAGGATGCCAAGACTTGAGGAGAAGATAGGACCAATAGCAAAGTACCAAACAATTTCATAATGAAAAAGGGCTTCTTGGAGTTTTGTAATGGCAAGACCTTTAACATTAATTTCAAAGGTGAGCTTGTGAACTTATTGGTGAGTGCCATTTAAGATATCATGAGTAACGCCTAAAGTCATCTGTTGGGCGTAGGACTAAACTCACACCATTGACTGCTTTCACCAAAATCAAAACGTGTAGGGATTGGAATTGGTGTGCTTAGAGACATCCTCAGGGAAAAGTGGATGAAACCACCAGAGGCAATGCTCATTTCTGTAGCCATGAAGCAAATGAACATTAAATAGATTTTCATTTGCTACACAAGTGAAATGTAACTGCCAGTGCACCAGTTGCAATCATGCTGGCAGGTGTTTAATTGCTTATGCATATTTGAACCCCAGTTGCTTCATTAGGGAAGTTTTACTTCACCACTGAGACTGCTGAGTAAATAGCAAGTGTCCCCAGAAGTGAGCAAAAATTTGAATAGCTGCCAAGAGTAACTCACCAATTTCCAAAAATTAAGGGAGTAAATGTTAGTCTTGATAGGAGATTGCAGGAGGAAGGCTGGTAACAGATACAACATTATGTTACAGGTTAGTTGCAAAACTGTGCACCATCTATTTTATTTGGTTTCTTCCTTTCCTCTCCAAATGCAGCAAATACAGCATTAAAAGTCTGGACTTAGTGTCAGGTACTGCTACTGGCTGTTTGTACATTGTCAGCAGAAAATGGTTCCTGTCTGGCAGAAGCTTTGATGAGCTACTTGCAAAATGCATAAAAATTAAGCTCAAAAGCATTCACTATGATGCATTGGCTACTTACAGAAGAGTCATTGGTGCCAAAGATGTCTCGCACATCCCGGACTGTGTGCTTGTTCTTCTTCCTCAGGGTCTGAGTGTACGTGTTGTACCTCTTCTGTACGGCAGCAGCTTGAGTTCGGGTCAGAGTGGACAGCAGGGCTTGGCCATCCTCCTCTTCAGCTCCCGAGATCAACGTAGACAAACCTACATCTTGCAGCCATTCCGCCTCCAGCTCCCCTTCTGTGGAGGAAGAGAGCGTGTTACCAGGCCTGGCATGGGAGGGAGAGGAGGCTGAAGAAAGGGAGATGGCATGGTGGATTGTTGCTTTAACCTTTACCTAGAGAAGATTCCACTTCCAATCTGAAGCCACAAGTGTAATTTAGTTTTATCAACATACTGTCAACTTTCAGGTTGGCAGTGTCTGCACAGGAGAGGCATAGGAGAAGTACAGAAGAAGTGTTTTTAACCTATGCATCAACACAGTCATGTGAAGAAGGCAGGAGAGTGCCCAGCCTGACACGGCAAGGTTGCTAAAAACTAACCCCGCATTCAAGAGCATAAATCCCCTCGGTTACCATTTATACCCCATTGTACTGGATGAAGCCATTTGCCAGGTGGAAATTAAACTGGTATTCCTATTAAAATAAGCAAAAACACCAAAGTGGTGTATACAACAGAATAATGTGTTTGCACGCTAAAGATGAGATTTAAGATGCCAAAGTCAGCTGGATATCAGACTCCTAGCGAAGACGCCACACTAAGAGAAGTGTGATGTCCAGCTAGTCCAGTAGCCTGTTTTGAATAAGATGGTTAAGATCCAGAGCTGCTCACTAAAGAACAAGGGTAGGGTAGCTGTCAAGGAGGTCAGGTAGAGATGGAAGAAGCAGAAATAGCTATGCTTGCATGCAAGGTATCATCCTGATTTCTAATAATTAAAGACTGGCTAGCACTCTACACCCCAGCATTTCCTGATATCTTGATTAGTGACTAGTATCTTCTTGAATCCTGTTCAGTATCTGCTTCCTGACTGGTTCAACATGGCAGCTGATTCCAGAGTGAGCTTATGAATATCCCTTGTCACTGTAAGACAGGTAGAAGCTCCCAGTCTACCATCTCTAAATCATTTAGTAATTTTAAATTTTGTTATCATTGCCTTTCTATTTGTCTGCTTTTTAAAGTAAACAGCTGTAGTCTTTTAAAATCTCTCTTCACATAGGAGATTTTGAGAGCCTTCGTTTTAGTTCTGTGAACAATCCTAGCTCAGCAATATGCTGCTTAAGACAAGACAATAATGGCATTCCAGCTTTGACTGAAGAAAAGGTATTACAAATAAACATGTCAAACAGGAAATGGACTAATTTGCAGCATGTTCTATAAAACACCTACTGAATGCACTTATTGTTCTTGTCCCAGCACTGGTCTTAATGGCAGGTTGGTATTTCTACTCTCCCTTCCTTTATTGCCTCTTCTTGACACTAGAATGCAGGCAGATTGATAGATACCAGTTTGCTGTGCTTTAACAGTAAGACACACAAAAAAAGAAAATTACAGGGCTGGACAGTAAGGACAAGTGAAAGCATCTTACATGTGTGCCTGCACTGGCTTCATTGTTAACTGCTTTGTCTCTTTACAAAGCTCTACAAAAATATCTGCTTCTAAAACCCCTGCTCTGTGTTAGGTGGGGTGTGACCAGCCCTGTATCCCGTGAAACAGCTTTCTCTGCTCAGATCCTTTCTGCATCCTCAGATAGAATGACAGGCTGTTCCTTTCCCTCCTTTGTAAGCTTTGAACCAATGGTTCAAATGCTGTCCTCACTCTTCTTTCTAAGGTCTTACTTCTGTGTACCACTGTTCTAGCCACATCCATTCATGTTCCAGTTTCTTAATTATATTCATTTTGGCTTTTGTCCTGACAGATTCTTTCCAAGAAATTACTTTTTAATCACACTTGGCTTTCATGATGCTATGAAAAATAGTAAAGCAGACATGAAATTTTCCCTGCTTTCCAGCCACCCCTGTGACTTGTTTTCTCTGGCTGTTGCCTTTTTCCTGTTCCTACCATTCACAAACAATAGACTAAAACATAACGACAACAACCAGAGGAGTAAAACTATTAAAGAGACATAAAACCCCCTCAAAATTTTATGACACACAGGTTTAATAAGGGCTAAAAGAAAAACATGTTGTTTTACAAAACATTATTTTTACGGTGGTAGCTACTTATACAGCAGGGTCTTGATACTGTGTTTGATTCTGCTCCATCAGAAGACAAACAGATAATCAAGAGGGTTCCCTCTGGTTGGTAATTCTCTTTTTCTCATAGAGATTTCCAGGAAAGAGGTGTGCCTTTCTTTGATGTTCAGATATAACCTCAAATAACAGCATCCCAGCCTTGTAACACTAAGTGTTAAAACATTTCTGCACATCACTGCCATCTTAAATGCCCCATAACTTCCTCTTCCCCTACATTTTCATCCCTTGTATCACTTGTTATGATCTGTTCTTTCTTGACCTTAGTTACTAATGTCAACAGATTGAGTGTGCTGATGTCTTCCCCTTGCACGTGTGGTCTGGCAAAAAACAGCTTTGTGGTTTTGACGGTATCAGTGGTGCCTGGCTGCTGTCACCCTTGGCTTCCTTCTTATGGATTCTGCACCTCTTCCTCTCAAAGACAACTCAAAAGGCTGATGAATATTTGTTTTTATTTTGCTCTGGGGACTTTTACATTGATTTTCAGTGATTTGATCCTCGGCAAGGAGTATTATCCTATTAGGAGCTTAATAGAATTCACTATTATTTCCAAGATTTATAATCTCAGACTGAAAATATTCCTGAAGTTAATAACTAGAACAAGCACTGCCTGGTTGTGTGTGAATGTATGCAATATATATGTGTTTAAAACAACAGTATGAAGGTAAATTAAGTGTGGAGATGTATTGTATTTTACCTTGGAGTCTCATTTTTAATTCTGGACAGAGAGGAAAAAAATCAATGCAATGTAATGAGGTGTAATCAGACAAAAGGTAACACAGGACTGCAGCAGAATTTTCACTGTTGTGAAGATTTAACTCAGCAGTAATGAAACTGATGGAAGTTTCTGAGAACATGGCAAACGGGCTCCTGTATTGCCTTGTCCCACTGACTCATCTGGCTTGGTAACTCACAGGTATGTGACATTCCCCTGACCATACAGACAAGTCAGGGACACCCTGTTCACACTGGCAGTTGCATGAAGGAGACACCGAGAGGTTCACAATCTCTTTCTAGGGTCTCCAAGGTAGACAGCATGATCAGACAGGAATTTTTCTTATATGATCAAACTGATTGAGGCAGGTTCCTTTTCTGCTTTCCCATAACAATAACCATAAAGTTTCAATGTTACAACTTGACTTATTTTTATTTGAGACCCCAAGCTAGCACAAAGCAGTGCAGTTTGGATTTAAGGTGCTGGACCATAACCCTGGTAGCAGACCAAGACTTTGGTGAACAGAGGTCATCTCCTTTTGCTTCCAGGAGTTCCCTACCTGGAACTAGTAAGCAGGAGGTGTTCCCCATTGAAATGGTACATGGTTGGTACCTCTGTGTGGGATACCTATCATGACTGATTACATATTTGGTTGCTTAATAAAGTAGCACCCTTTCCCCCTTTTCACCCTTCTTCCTGGTAGCAGAATTAATGACATCCCGTTGCAAGTCAAGGTAAGAAAAATACGTCGTCACTTGTGTTAATAATTGTATGGAAAGAACACACCATTGTTTCAAAATCTATCCCTAGATCAGTAGTTACCAGACTAGTGGCCATGATTCACAGAAAGGTTGCAGTCATGACCTCAAAAGAAATTGGTTTTCATCCTATAGTAACACCTGATATTTTGTGTTGCACAATATAATGCATTTGTAAGTTGGGTCATAACTGGAAAAAAATGAGAACTGCTGTTCTAGATGTTATCAGAACACCTAAAACAAAGCTGCATTGCAAGAAGCTAGTGCAAACAATTACATGGGTTTCCAAATATATTATGAAAAATGAGAGGGGGAAATGTTAAGGTAACAGAATGAGGTGGTAGTACCTTCAGCATAATTTGTATAAATGATGAATGAATTTTGACAAGTGGGGAGTCTGAATTATGTAGGCATCCACCTGTTCAGATTTATCTCTGATCTCTCTTTGAATTATATCTAAATTGGACAATCTCAGACAAACAGGCAGGTATCAAATTTCTGATAGCAGCAAATGATATATAACTAAAAACTGCTTCAAGACTTTCATAACTCCTCATTATATCCTACCAAAAGCCGGAAAGCTGAAAATTCCAGTTTACTAAATGAACTTTTTGGTCCTTTTATATGCTTTGGTTTATTTTATTTAATGCTGGATATGAAGTTTTCATTTAGCACCTCTCTTTTGTTAATTACACTGTATTTGTCCTCCTGAAGTACAAATAAAAATGGTGCAAAAAAACCTACTTCAGAAGTCAATTACCAGCTCCAGTGTATAAACCAGGTTGAATTATTGTTTCTCTGCAGTGGTGTCTCATACAATGACCAGAAGTAGAGCTACAATGATCATAGACCCAGCCTAGCACTTTTGCTCATGCTGAATGACAACAGGAAGGGCATTACGACAGAGACAAGGCAAAGCCAAGGTGTGAGCAAGAAGTGGTGTTCCTGTGCTTACCATCAGCAGGTTTGAACTCCAAAAGTGTTGCTTCTTCAGCTCCGTCTCCACTGCTCTCCTTGATGCTCTCCACTTCACACCAGAAGTCCTCCATGGAGGTGCTGTCCATGGAGGCCTGTGAGTTGGAGCGACTGAATGCAGGAGGAGGTGCCGACTCATTGGAAAGCATCCTATTGATTCTTCGACAACGAGGGAGAGACTTTCTGAAAAGACATAGAGATGAAAAAAAAATTTTCTACCTTTCTGCCATGTTAACTTGTACAACACAGACAAAGCATGGAACTAGGGCTTCAACTGTGATTATACCAGGGAGCAGGGAACAAGATGTTGGAGGCAAAGTGCACAGTTCTGGTGGTCTTCACAATCTCTGTTGCTCATAATAGTTATGGCTGCAAATTTATTCTGCATCTAATAATTTATCTCTTAAATATCCTTTAGTGTTTTACATTAAAAACTCAGGAGGGGAACTCAGGAAGTGCAATTTCTGTTTCTAATTCTGATGAGTTACAAATATCTAATCTCTTAGTATCTAATGATTTTAACTTATCAACTGTTCCTCAGTTTCTCTTTCTATCCCTTCCTGTTTTCTTACTGGCTGAAGTGCTCCAATGCAAATTTCTTTGGGGAAAAATGATCAAACTTGGGAACCCTGAAATATTTTACAGACTTGTCTTGGCTCCAGAAAAGAAATAAAAAAATGAAATATTTTAATTCAGAAGAATAATTACCTTTTATTTAAAAATCCTTTAAAAAATAATCCATTTCAAAATGAAATTAAAATAAACAAAATCTTAACAAAATTTGTCTTTGAAATGAAATAGTATATTTTATGCCAAACAGAAGGTTTTAATCACAGGTTCAAGAAAAATTATAATTCACTAAAAATCAGATTTCAAGTGATAGTTCAATAGTGATGGAATCAAAACAAAGAAGTTTGTTCCTTACTCGTTTGTTCTTGTATTTTCCCACTCTAAGTTCTCGCAGCTGAAGACAGTTACACAAGTTCATACAAAATCTTGTAAATAACTACTATGAAAGTCTTGTCTGCCTTTGCTCTTTCGCATTATTACGATTGCAATACTGTAAGAAGCTTTTGTAAGTGTAATTAGCAGTAGTTACAGTAAACAGTAAAAATAACCACAACAATATTTGTACAAAGGAGTCAGGAGGTAACATAATTACGGCAGAGAGCTAGACTACAGGAATTAATGGAAAATTCTGTCATAAGGTCTTCTGGCCTTCACTTATCTGAATTAATTCAAATGCAGTTTCCCTTTCTCTTCCTTTTCTTTATGGCATCATCCTGCCAACAAGCCTTTGTTTTAAACCACAGACATCACTTTTACTCCACTGAAAAAAAAAAAATACTTCCTTTTCAGTATTTCCCTCCTTGTCAAAGTTTTCGTAATGGATGTATAAACAATATATTACTTGAAAACACTGACTGGACGTGCTTTCCCGGCTTTGTGCTGGTGCCTCTGCTGCCTCCCCCCTGGCCAGCAAAGGGCTGGCTGCTTCCCTGGGGCTGCTGGAGCCTCCTCGCTTCATCTGGGTGGTCCCAGGCGATTCCTTCTGGGCTATGTCTGAGCCCCAGGCTGGGGGGCGGCTGCGGTGGAAATGGTGGTATACAACAAACCCAGCTGTGGCCATTATCGGTATCAGGCCTTTACCCCTTTTTGAACATGGGGAGGTGTTGTACAGGCGCTTCAGCTGCCAGACCTGCTGTGTGTCCTCACGGTCAGCTGCTGGGAAGCAAAGTTCTCTGAGGGGTGGCAACGTTTCCGCAGAATGAAATGTACTGTGGTGCTGTGGAGACACATGTCCTCCAGAAGAGGAGAGCTACCTATCTGCAGTGTTTCCATCCTTTCTTTTTTTCGCCCCCATAAACAGCAAATGATTGTTTGCTTTTAAACATAACGCTGAAACTGTTACTGTTCTAATTAGAACAAGCTGCAGTCACCAAATCTGAGAAGAATTTGTGACACAAGTGTGGTTAAAGCTACTTGAGTGCTTTCCATGTAGCTCTCACTCCAGGGAGAGCCAAGCTTTTCAGTCGGCTTGTGTTTGCAAAGCCTCAGTTGACTGGGGTAGCTGATAAATCACGATTTCTGTAATCATGGATCTGGAAGTGGCAGTCTCTGGTTTTTCACCTATCTTTCTTCCCAGCAAGTCTCACAGGACTTAAGTATCATGAACTAATACTGTACCGAGCGTCCCCAAGCAGAGGTTTTAACCAGCAGAAGCAGAACGCCTGAGGAGCAGCCACTAAAAACCCACCTCTTCAGCTGGGAGCTGGTGGGGATGGGGGAAACAGGTCCCGCCAGCCAGCGGCTTACTGCCGTGAAAGGCTGCACTCTTTTGTTTAAAAGGTGATAGTGAGCACAAATAAGGAAAAAGGCAAAACTTCCTGGCACTCGAACAGCATTTGGGGCCCCTTTTCACCGGGCACTTGTACAAGCAGAGAGAGAGGCCAAGGCCTGGTGTCAGGGGGGCTCATCTCCCACCCCGGCCTCCTCCGTGGCCTGGGGCTCTGCCTGAGCCCCCCCACGCTGCTGCCAACAAAGCCATTTGTATCCCTGCTTAGTACAAACCTTCATGAAACATAAGTCCCTACATCTGCTTTATAGCACAGCCCATAGCTCCCAGGCCAGCAATGACAGGAAGGAACGCTCTCGCCACTCTGGAATCAAACACGTGCTGGGATGAGAAGAGGGCTTTTTTTTTTTTTTCCCCCCGATAGCATCACTGGCTCCCATCTTTTAGTCATGGTCAGGGAATTTAAACATTTCCTGCCCTCCCAGTGTGAATCTTGACCACGACCCTTGTGCTTTTCACGCACCACACTAGACTGATCCTTGTGCTTTGACTTCATCCGCACTTCAGCTAGCTCTAAACCAAGGCTTTTTATTTCACCATATTAGGAAGAAAGAGGCTTGGTGGGTTCTTTCTTTTCTCCCCACAGCGAGTATGCTATTTTGTAATATTACCATACCAAAAAGCTAAATGCAAAACAGAGCACGTAGCATGGCAACAACCGCTGTGACAACCAGATTTACCAAACACGTCTAAGGTTCCTGGGTAATTAACGTGCATTTACAACAAAATTAAAAGTACAGAGCTTATTTGGAAAATCAGCTGAACAAAGTCTCCCGAGGACCTTATATATGAGGCTTGTTATCTCAGCCTAGATTAAATCAAGCTGTGTAAAATTCCTGTAACAAGAAAGGTTAGGCAGAGGTGCTTTATTCTTATTGGTAAACTGCTGAAGCTTGCTTCCAGGTGGTCTGGTACAAACCTTCTGCAATTATTCTGAGTCTGCCTATTAAAAGCTCAATGCTTGAAAAGACCTCCAGCTGCCGTTTTGACCCATATACCTGTGGCTTTTGTCCTGGAGGAAGTGGTCTTCCTTTTATGTGATAATGGCAGTTGTCTCCGTTTCCTCCAGCCAAAGCTGATCAAAACAGTTTCAGGAAAAAAAAAAAATCTTACTGAGGAAGCAAAGCATATTCTTCAATGCTTTTAATTCATTCTTGAAGGACAGTGAATGAGCACTGACTCAGCAAGCTGCTGGCCTGTCTCAGAAATAGCACAACCTGGGAACTTGTCACCTGGGAACTCTCCTAGCAGAAAATCTGTGTTCCCAATACCTTTTTCACCCTCAGGGGTTTCTGGCTTGTTTGCTCTTTTTCTCAGTGTCTGTAGAGAAGCTTACAAGTAATCTGTTGTTCTTACAGAAAATTTGAAAGCCAGTCTTGTTAGGTAAGTAGCAATCATGCAGCTCATACTCAGTTTCATTTGCTCCCTCACACACCCAGGCAACGGTGAGCTAATCTGAAAGGCTGACTAAATTAAACAGAGGAGGGATCACAGATCCTGGCTTCCTAGATGGAAAATGCTGGAAGAGAAGGACAAACCTTAAAGCACGAGCAAAAAGTAAAGTGAATTTACTGAATGAGATGAAATTATTTTCAAGGTGGAATTAAAAAGAAAAAAAAAGCTACACACACACAAACCTACACGCAAAGGAAAAAAAGGGAAAAGTATATTAGAATGGCCAATGTTATCAAAGAACACCTCTCTTACTGGATATTGGTCACAGCAGAAATGGTTAAAGAGTGCCAGTACGGAGAAATATGATGATATCATGTAGAAAGCTTTCTGTGGAAAGATTTTTGCAAAGAACCAGGGTATTTCCATGGGGCACAAGGAGGCTGATTCAACTGTGTGTGACTCTGGCTTTGCCCTGCTGTGTGTTTATAACACTGATGAAATGCAATAGCAAACCAGGGCCCCTGAACCTCTGTTTTATGTTCTGTATATCATGCAGAAGGGTGCTGTTCTGGGTCTGAAAGCACATACTGATTTCAGGATAGCCAAGCCAAATCCAATAGCCAATTCTTACCCTACCCCCAAACTGAAAGTTTGCCAAACCGCACGAAAAGCTGGCTTGGTGACGTGTAATGATTTCTCACAGGCTGACTAATGATAAAACCAAGCTTGTGTTTTCAGTTTAATTAAGTAATGGGTGGTAAAGAATCCATAAAACAAACTGGAGCAATAAAGCCATCTTGTAGTTAAACCCACCATTTAATCCTTGTTTACACAGAGAGACAGGACATCTTACTCTTGTGGGTCATTACGCTTCATTTCATTCAGTGGGTCCTGAACCTGCTTTACCACAGTTAGTCACATTTATAGGAATGGGGAAGATTAAGGAAGCAAATTCTCCTGGTCATTTTAGGACCAAGATCCACTTTCATATTGCAATCATTCTATCAGTGTAGCCACTTAACCCAGTGAAATCAGTAGCGCCTGAAAAACACAACAGTGGCAGAGTACAGTCTTGTTTCCTGTTCCCAAACCTTTATATTCTTCAGTTTGTCATAACAATTCAGCAACTTCTGACAAAAAAATATTGCCCTTTCTCTGCTCAGCTCTTCTGAAATTTAAATAAGGGGGTGGTAACTTGCATTGGCAGGTAAATAAAATGTTTTGCTCTTTATTAAAAGCTATATTTTCCTCTATTTTTAAATGTTAGGAATCAGTCATCTGCCGATATTTTATTTAACTTTTTTTTTTTTTAATAAACTGTATTAAAAATCCAGGCAAAGGAAGAGTGCGGCAATTGGAAATAGTATCTCTGTGCACAGTTCATGGCACATTTCACTCTTGCCCAAAATCTCTTGTCTTCTGGTTCCTTCCT